AAGGCAATTAATAGCTTTTGATGGGGAGATCCCCCATCTCTGGAGGCCTTCCAGGAGAGGATAGATGAGCACTTATCACAGTTGCTAAGGAGGGTATTCCTGCCTATGTGCTGGTTGCTCTGAGGCTCCTTCCAGCTCTGAGAATCAGCCCATCTGTGTGCATTGCTCCAGCTCTGGAGTCTCTGGTGGATGGATGGCCAACCACCTTCTGGGGATGTAGCAGAAAAGCCTCTTGTTTTGTGTTGGATATGTCCACTAGATGTACACAGAATTGCTTTTCAATCCTGGGATTCTATGTGCAGGCCTGCAAGTGAAGCCGCCATGCCTCTTTGGGTGTGCCCTGCTCCTTGCTAAGGACGCCTGCCTCTATCTTCTTTTGCAATCAGCCTGGTCTGAGAACAATTTATGCAATAACAACACTGTAAAAATGAACAATTATGAAAGACTTCAGAACTCTGATAAATGTCATGATGATTCCAGAGGACCTATGATGAAACATCCCGTCCATCTCCTTGGCAGAGAAGGGACAGATTCAAGATGCAGGATGAGACACGTTTCTGGACACAGCCAGTATGGGGATTTGTTTTGCTTGACTATACATGTTTGTTACCAGGGTTTTTCTTTTCCTTTTTTTTTTTCTTTTCCATTTGGGATAGAGATGGAAAGGAGAGAAAATAAATGCTTGCTAATTGAAAAAATTTTAAATGCAAACTTTAAAAAACATAATCATCCTGGTCTCCCATTGTGCTAAAGGACAAAGCTCATTTGCCACTTGGGATCTGGATAATTACTGAGGAACACAAATAGGCAAGGATATTGGTATGATTATAATAAACAATAAGACCTTCTGTACATTTTCTAAGAATGTTTTTATTTTATTTTTTCTTAACTACATGTAAAAACATTTTTAACACTTTTTTAAAAACAAATTTTGAGTTCCAGACTTCTTCCCTCCTTCCTTGAGAAGGCTAGCATTTTGATATAGGTTACACATGTATAGTCATGAAAAACATATTTCCATAATAGTTATGTTGTGAAAAAGAACACAGACCAACTCCCCCTGAAATATAAAGAAAGTTTTTTTAAAAAGTATGCTTTGATCTGCATTCAGACTCCGTCAGTTCTTTCTGGAGGTGGACAGCATTTTTCATGACGAGTCCTTCGGAATTGTCTTGGATCATTGTATTGCTGAGAATAGCTAAGTCATTCACAGTTGATCATCTTTAAAATATTGCTGTGTGTACAATGTTCTCTGGTTCTACTCTCTTCACTTTGCATCAGTTCATGTAAGTCTTTCCAGGTTTTTCTGAGAGCACCCTGCTCATTGTTTCTTATAGCACAATAATATTCCATCACAATCACATACTACAGTTTGTCCAGCCATTCCCCAATTGATCGGCATCCCCTCAATTTCCAATTCTTTGCCACCACAAAAAGAGCTGCTATAAATATTTTTGTATATGTGGGTCCTTTTCTTTTTTTTACGATCTCTTTGGGATACAGACTGAGTAGTGGTATTGCTGGGTCAAAGGGTATGCACATTTTTATAGCCCTTTGGGCATAGTTCCAAATTGCTCTCCAGAATGGTTGGATCAGTTCACAACTCTGCCAACAATGCATTAGTGTCCCAGTTTTCCCACATCCTCTCCAATATTTATCATTTTCCTTTTCTGTCATGTTAGCCAATCTGAAAGGTAAAAGGAGGTACCTCAGAGTTTTAATTTGCATTTCTCTATCAATAGTGATTTAGAGCATTTTTTTCAGATGACTATAGATAGCTTTGATTTCTTCATCTGAAAACTGTTCATATCATATCCTTTTGCCATTTATCAATTGGGGAATGACTCATATTCTTTCATACATTTTCAACAAGAGGGACTCTTGTCCTGCAGTGGAGAGCTGGTAAGGTGCAGAAAAGATACCCAGAAACGAAGACTTGGGCAAGTTTATCTATAAAGAGATGCCAGCATGAGGAGGATGCACAGGCATTATCAGATCCAGGCAGCCTAGCCTCTGACACAACCTGGCAGTGTGGCCTTGAGCAAGTCATTTAACCTTTCAGTGCTCTTGGCCAGTTCTCCAAGCTCATAAGTTGTGGAGAAGGGACTGACCTGCATTGGTAGAAGGAGCTCCCTCATCTGGGGTTTGCCCTTCCCAATAAAGTCACAGGCAGTCCATTTCCTTATCCTTAAAGCCAATATGGCTCATTATTTTGATTTAGAATACACTGGTGTAATGTATTACTCAATCTTCAATGAATCTCTTGTAAAGCCATGAACATTTTGAAAGCTAATTGTAAGAGGGGTTTTTTTTCCCCTAGAAAAAGGCTTTAAAGAGTGTACTCATCACTTTTTTCAGCTTTGTAGGGGAGTGGTCTTCCTACAAGGGAGGCATCTCTAGGGGATTGACCCTTCTGTGGCCTTCTTTGATCTCCTGAAGACAATGTAAACTCCTTAGCCTGGCATTTTTGGCCCTCTCCCACCTGGTGCCAGGGTCTGGTGAATAGGTCCCCTGGGTGACCTCTGGACTCTAGCCAAGCTGGCCTCTTGTGTGTGCTTCCAACATGCCCTGTGCCTTTCTGTCACCAGATCTCCCCTCCTGTTCCTCTTTTCACAACCTCCTCCTCACCTGTTGAATTTCTAGACCTCCTTTAACCCCTAACAAAAAGGCCTCACCCACCAAGAAGCCTTCTTGGATTTCTTCCAAAAATGAATAAGGAAATGCTTTGCTTTGTCTATTGGGCTACTAGAAGCCTTTAATCCGGAGAAGTGAAAACTTACTGGGGGCTGAGGAAGAAGCAGAGGTGGTTTCCAGGAAGAAGTGATGGTCTCTGTTTTCTTTGAAGGATACGATCCAGTAGACAAATAGACAAAGCAAAGCAAGTCAGTAGATGTGGAGACTTGCCATGGAAGTCCCAGTTTGAGCTGAGCACATCCTTCCTCCAAGTCTAGCTCTGAGCTCGGGGTAATGAGGACATAGGGCAGAATTTTCCAACCTCGTTCAGGTGGCAGAGATACCTACCTCTGCCTCCTTTCCTGTGTTCTTCTCACACCCTAAGGTCTTCCAAGTGTTTGTGGGAGGAGTCAGAAGACCTGTTTTCAAATCCTGACCAGCCACTGACATTGCCTCTCTGCCTGTATCCTCAGCCATAAAAGGGAGTTAGTGATTCCTATGCTTCCTGAAACTGAGGACCTTTGGGAGGGGTGTGCTTTGAAAAGGGTCCAAAAAGAGGTCAGCACCAGCTGTTGCTGTAGGTCACCCATCAGTTCTTGGAAGGCAAGAACCAGGCCAGACAGATCTCTGAATCTGCTGCCTACCCTCCAACACAGCCCTGGGCACACTAAGCTTTTAGGGAACCTTGGCTGAGGCCTGAGGGAGCAGCCTTTATATTTTATGTGACTTCTGCCTGTCATTGGGCTGTACCAGCATCTCCCTCCTCATTATGTAGACTGTGTTCCTGGGCCATGGGGGGGGGATGGTTAGTCCCCCATATGCTGTCCCCCTCCCAGTGTCTTGCAAGGTCTTCCTCTTTGGGCTACTCCAGACCAGCGCCATTGCTTATAAAAAGGAATAGTCTATCCCTGCTAACATTCTGCCCCCCGCCCCCAGGCAGTCAGGGAGGCCTTTGTGACCTGATAACTGAATTCACAGAGATTGTTTTATTTGGGGGGGGGGGAATGATGGTGCAGGAATTATGAACGTGAGTCTCACCTCTTACAACCGGGGGCAGGCATTCTCTGCTTCCCTCATCTCAGCTTTGGGGGCACAGAAGCTTGGCCCCCAGAGCCCTGCTCTTGAAACCCCCAATCCAGGGGAAGGGGGCCCAAACTGAGCTCCGGGGGACCCTAAGCAGTAACTATCTCTTGCCGGCTTCCAACCGTTCACCATCTTTCACGTGGGGGTGGGGAGGATGGAAGGAGGGGAAGGCAGGGGTAAATAGCCCAAGCCAGGCCAGTGCCTCCGACTTTCGGAGACTCTCTGTTGGGGACTGCTTGGTGTACATGTACAAAAATCTCATATTGAATTTTCTCACGTCGAACTGCTGGGGACCCGAGAGGAGAAAAAGAGAAAAGAGCTAAGTGTAGGCACAGAGAGAAAGTGACAGAGCCGGAGAGGAAGGGGATCCGGGGCGGGGGGGGGGGCGAGGGAGGGAGAGGGAGACGGGGGGAGGGAAAAGAGACAGTGAGGGAGGGGGACAAGGGGAAGGGGGAGGGAAGAAGCGGAGAGGGAGACCGAGAGAAGGGGAGAGACAGAGACAAAGGTGGAGGAGGCAGGAAGAGAAAGTGAGAGCGAGAGTGAGACACAGAAAGAGACCGAGAGAGGGAAGGGGGCGAAACAGACCGACTGGAAACAGAGAGAGGAGGGTAGCAAGAGGCCGTCAGTGTCGCCGCCCCCCCCCCAGTCCTGAAGTCCCTCCCCCTTCCTGCCGTGCTCGTGCCCCCCCCCCGCCCCGTCCCAATCTCGCACCATCCGTCCCCCTGGGCAGGCGGGGCTGCTGTGCGGGGGACTGGCCCACATTTCGGGGGCCGGGTCCGGACGCTGCGGGCAGGCTTAGGGAGAGGGGGACGGAGGCCCTGCCAGCAACCCCGCAGCCCGGCCCCGCAGCTCCACGATTCTTTGAGTGGGGGCGGGGTGGAGACCCGGGTGGGAGATGAGGAGCGGGAGGGTCGGGGTCTGGGACCAGACCCCGGCCAGTCCCTCAGTCCTCTTTCCCGGCACTTTCCAAGTTCCCCCTGGCCCAGAGTTTGGGCCGCTCTCCTAGGATCCTTCTCTTCCCCCTCCTCCTCCCCTCTCCGCCTGCCCCCTCCCCTTCCCTTGTTCTCTCTCAAGCTCACCGTGGAGCCCCCAGTGCGCATGTACCGATGGGGCGGGGGGGGGCGCGGGGGGCGGAGGATTCTTTCAGTCCCTTCTCCCCCCTCCCCCTCGCTCCTCTTCCCCTCCCCCTTTGCTCTCCCCCCTCCCCTGCCCGCTCCATCCGGGCACTGCCGAATTAGCATTGACGGCCGAGGCACAACTTTTTCTCGAGGCCGAGGAAAATCCAGGCGCGCACTCGGGCACGGAAATATAGTCCCTGCCTCCCTCCCTGCCTGCCAGCCGGCCTGCCTCCCTGCCTGTCTCCCTCGGGCTGGAAGGCGGGCTCCGGACGGCGGGCGGGGGCTGGGCCGTCGGGGCGCCCCGAGGAGGCCGAGTCTTGTGCCCGGGCGCCCCCTCCCACTCCCACTCCCACTCGGCACTAAGTCGCTCTCTCCCCACTCGCACACTGCCAACTTGCTTTGCAGCTCCCGGAGTTGTTCCTGCCTGCCCTTGCTGTGGCCGCTTTTCGCCCGCTTGGAGCTCGGTCGGAGTGGGGTGGCTATCGTGGTCCGGCTAGGGGAGGGGGGCCATCTGCTGTGGATTTTTTTTGGTGGGGGAGGGGGCTGATTCCTCCCCCCTCCCCCGCCCCGTCAAGTTTCCCCCCTTTCCCTTCGTCCTCCTCTTTCCCTGGGAGGAAGCTAGGGGATCGTAGCCCTATCTCTGCTCCCCTGTGAGGCCTGACAGCCTCCCTGGGATCGAGGCTCCAACTGGCTGCAAAGTGCCCGACAAGTTACAGGAATGGAGCTCCAGAGCCTCCAGGAGGCGTTAAAAGTGGGGATCCAGGGTCATCAGGTAAGTGGGGGTGAGCTCTGGTCTTGGGAGTTAGCACCGAGAGACAGAGACAGAGAGACTTGGGGGAGAGAGAGAGAGAGAGAGAGAGCGAGCGAGAGCCAGAGCCAGAGCCCTACACCCAGAGTTTTAGCGAGAGAAAGAGACTGAGTCTCCCAGAGGGAACTGGGGACTCGGGCTCGGCGTGAACGGAGGGATGTACTCGGCTCTCGTGGTACAAGCACAATACGGGAAAAAAAAACAACTAGTTTCTTCTTCTTCTCTTCGCTCCCCCCCCCCCTTTGCTCAGGCTTCTATCGCTATTGTGCTGCGGGGGGGGTATCTTGGGGATGGGGGATTCGGGGTTCGCTTAAAATGCCCCCCTTCGGCCCTGCGCCCTGCAGGCCGCCGCCCCCTGCCTCCCCTGCGCCATCCGCCCACTTTGCTAAAGTAGTTTACAGAATGTTGCCGGGAGTTATGGGTTGTTCTCGTCGGAATCCAGAATGATCTTGCTTCTGCTGGTGCTTGGGCGAGTGTGCATGAGTGTGTGTGTGTGTGTGTGTGTGTGTGTGAGAGAGAGAGAGGGACAGTGAGTGTGCATGTGCGTGTGTGTGTGTTGGAGAGATTAGGACGAGACTTGAATATTTATGAGCTTTGCCTGAAACTGACTCGCTGTGTTTACTTGGCTCTTTGTTCCTCCCCCCCTCCAGTTCACTCGCACTCACGCACACTCACACGCAATCTTCCTCTCTCACACTCACTCCTGTGTCTGGCTTTTGGGGGTTCGTTTTTTAAAGAAAACAATCACTAACTTGAAACCCATTGCGATCCCTCCTTTGGGGTGATTGAGAGAAAGACCGGCCCAAACTAGTTGCTCCGATGAGGCTTGGCGAGCCACAGGTAAATGCAAACCTTGCCTGCTTGCCGCTGGGGTTTCTCCTGTTGGCATCAAAGCCCTCGTGCCAGGCGCCGAGAGGGAGAAACTTTATCGGGTCCAGATTCCCTGTGGGGTTGTGCCCTGAACCCCCCAAGCGCCCCACGCTTTCCTCTCCCCTGGGTCCCCTCCCTAGTCTCCCTTGCTGAGGAGTTGGGAACCCGCCGCCTTCTTCCCAACATAAGTCATTTCTTTCTTTCTTTCTTTCTTTTTCTTTCTTTCTTTCTTTCTTTCTTTTTATCGCTTTTTCTGCAGAACGGCGACCTTAAGAAACAGCTCCCAGAGAGGCATTCCCGGATAGCGGCCCTTAACCAGAGACAAGTAAGGCTGACTCCCGCCGTTCTTCACTCAGCTGCCGGTCCTGAGGTGACCAGGGTTTGGACAATGCACTTTCTCAGGATCTGAAAAGTAGTTGCGTTAGCGAAAAATGCCTTAGGCCGGAATCCTAAAGTTCTGTGGGGAGCCCAGGTGAGCCCTTGTGGCTCGGAAGCGACCCCAGATGCAGCCTGGGCCAGGGCCAGGAGGAGGGATGTAAATTATTCTGCCTGCCCCCCACCCCACCCCAAGCTGGGTTCAAGGCTCCACTCCTCCCCCGCCCCCCACCGAGGCATCCATTTTGAGTTGGTCGACATGTTTTAGGAATAGGGACATTGCTGCGGTCTTGAGCTCCTTGGTACTACGGCACTTTTGCGTGTCCAGGGAGTCTAGGGGGCTGGGGAGGCAGAGGAGACTTGTCAGCAGTTTCTGGTTTCTGTGGCAGAGCTGGTTCTCATCGATCACTGGAAGACCTCCCCCACAATTGACTGATTTCTTTTCTGGACTGGGGACCCTTCCCTTTCCCCCTCCCCTTTCCCTTCCCCCCTTTCCATTCTCCCTACCGCCCCCCCCCCCGCCCTGAGCACTTGAACTCGTGTTTGTCCTTCGATCCTCTTCGCCACCGAGGTCCTGCCTCGGCAGAAGGGGAAGGGGCGAAGGGGGGAGAAGAAAGACAAAAAAAAACCCCAAGCAGACCTCAGATGAGGCAATCCAGCTAAACTTGAAGCTGCTGCCTTCTTTTTCTTCATTAAAAAGAAAAAGTTTGCCTCGGAAAAGATTTTGGGTTGCCCTCCCCCATCCCATCTCTCTTGCGTCCCTCCCTCCTCCCCCTCCCTCCAGGCTGAGGAAAAAGTTGGCCATTGTGAGTTTGTTCAGCTGAGATCAGCTGATGGCGAAAAGCCGGCGTGGTTAGGTTTCAGCACCACGAACAGATGCCACTGAAACGTCTTCCACGCTCTGCAAACGCGGCTCCCTTTCTCCTCCCCCCTCCTCCCCTCTCCTCTCCCCTGCTCCTCCCCCTCCTCCTTCCTCCTTTCCCCCTTTCCCTCCCCCTCCTCCTCCCCTTTCTGTACTTCTGCAAAACCTGGCAGCCTGCAAAACCCATCCAGGATCTGCCGGATTGCAAAGCTTCCTCCCGCCGACCCCCTTTCTTCCTCCCAGCCTCCCCTCCGCCTACACCCCTCCCCTCCCCCTGCAGCTAAGAACTTTCTACAACGCGTCCAATTGCGTCTCCCGCAGCTTTCCAAAACCCCTTTGGCGGAGATTCTTCCCCCCCCCCCCCCAACTCCCGGCCCATTCTCTCTCTCTCTCTCTCCTCTCTCTCTCTCTCTCTCTCTCTCTCAACCCCTCCCCCTCTATCTCTCTTCGCTTTCTTTTCTCTCCTCCCCCTCTCCCTCTTTTCTACCTCTCTTCCCCCTCCCTGCCCCTACATCTCTCCCTCCCCCCCTCTCTTTTTCTAGATCTCCCTCATTCTTTCTCACACTCTTCCTCCCTCCGATCCCTTAGCTGAATCGATCGCTTTTCCTTCGGAATGCTGCATAGCTCTTTCGGACCAAACTTGGAGCTGAGCCTTAGACTCTCCTCTCCCCCGTTCCCCCCACCAGTAGAATTTATTTATTTGCCAAATGTTCCACCCCCGGCTAGTGAAAAGAGGAAGACCTCTAGGTTCATTTTTCTTGGTTGAGAGGGGAGGGGGGAGGTCTGGGTTGAGAAAGCTGCTGCTGAGACAGGGTGGGAGAAGGGGTAGGGATGTTGGTGGCTAAGGCCTGGGGTGAAGATGGGGGAGGGGGCGCGGAGAGTTGGAAGCTGAGATTTCAATGTTTTATTTAAGGAGTCGAAGGGAAAGTTGAAAAGTGAGGGAAGGTTGGGGGAGAAATATGGCTGGTTCTGTTGGTTTGAAAGATAGTCATGGAGGGGGAGGAGGAGGAAGAGGAAGAGGAGGAGATGCAGGAGGAGAGGGATGGCTTTAGAAAATGAATGAATTGTATTTGGTGTTGTGTGTACGGAGTTTTTTTTTAAACCCCTAGCTCTGTTCATTGTCTCCGAGTTGGTCAGCGTTCCCCTTTTGGTAGTGGGAGCTCCCATTTTGTGCAGAAGTGGGGGGGTTCCCTCTCCTCTCAACATGGAGAAAAGTCTGCAGAGTTTGGGGTGGGGGAAGGGCCCCATTCATGCTGAACATTACCATTTTGATTGCTTCGATGCCATTTTTTGGAGGGGGAGGGGTTAGAATACCCGACTCAGCCGAGCACAAAGATGCTTAATCACTGGATGGAATCAAATCAGAGACTTTCTCTTCCTTAAAAAAAAAAAAGAAAAGAAAGAAAAAAGCAAACCTGTCGCGAAGTAATAGCTAAGGGTTCCGAGCACTGTTGGTCCCCCCTACCCCCCATAAAACTCCAAGTTGATGACTCCTCCAAGTCGATTTAAAAAGCGGTACACCTCCTCGGCTCGAGGGCTCTCTAGCGGCGTCTCTCCGACCCCCGCCCCCGCATCTTTAGCAGGGCTTCCTTCCCTGGGAGGGGGGAGTTTGAGGATCTCTTCCGTGGATTGTGGGAGGGCCCTGGGTCCCTGATCCACCTCTTCCCGGATCGTAGCACCTACTTCCAGACTGTTTCAGTGTGTGTGATGGTAGTTAGGAGATGAGCAAGTATTTATTAGGTGTCGTGGTGGAATCTATCGGAGGCGGGAAGGCGGTCCGAACCGAGAGATGGTCTCGGGTCCAAGAAGCCTTTTGCCTTCAGTCTGAACTCCCAGAACAAGGCGTAGGCAGCCCCCACCCTCTCCCTCCCTCTCTCTCTCTCTCTCTCTCTCTCTCTCTCTCTCTCTCTCTCTCTCTCTCAAAGAAAAACACTTTAAAAACAAACTCTTTCCCCCCCCCTTTTTTTTTTACTTATCTCTAAGTTAGAGAAAAGCTCTGCATAACGATAAAGATTTGGTTTGATGGGCTGAAACTCAGATTTGTAGCTGCATATGTTTTTCCCCAGTTTCCCTTTGTGGCATTTTGTGTAACAAGGGCTCGTAAAGAAGGGAGGGAAGGGGAGGGGGGAGGGGAGAAAAGGGGAGGAGGAGGTGGTGTAGCATGCTAATAAAGCTGCCTTGTCTCTCTCTGGGAAGCCTGGAGTTGAAATCCATCAGAGGTCACCAATGAAATGAGTTTGGTGGACTTAATGTGAGCTTGGCTAGGCCTTTCCTTCCGAGAGTTGGCCAATGATTGGCAGGCTCCTACTTGGAAAGGTCATTAAAGGGACTCTCAGAGAGATTTCCAGGCCAGACCTGGGGAGGTCTTGGAGGCTAGCATCTTAACCAAAGGGCTAAATTAGCCCATTCTGCTCGGGAATAGGGAATGCCTTCCCTCCTCCCCCCAATCTGTATGGAATGACCTATTGGTGGGGTTAGAAGGAAAGGATGTTTCACTGCTCTGGACTTTTTATAAAATGCCTGTCCCTGTGGAGGGCAGGGAATAAGCATTTATTATAATGCCTAATATGTGCCAGGCGCTGGACTAACTGCTTTACAAATATTATCTCATTTTATCCTCACACAATCCTGCATGCTATGTGCTGTTAACATTACCCCCATTTTACAATTGAGACAAACAGTGGTCAAGGGCCTTGCCCAGGATCACACAGCTATTAAGTGTCTTCTGTTAAATTTGAACTCCTATCTTCCTGCTTAGAAGCCCAGTGCTCCATCAACTTGGCCATCTAGCTGCCTAATTGTAAGGACAATTCACTGTCACTTTTGTTTGCGTGTGATGCATTTGTCCCCTACAATAAATATGTGCATTGGCCATGCCTGGAATAGTAAAATGCAATGAAGATTGAAGTTCAATTAAAAGGCACATGTGAGTGATGAAATCGATAGCCAAATAAATGGATGAGAACATTATCCATATCAGCTAGGAATACAGTTATAGCAAGTGATGTATTTCAGTGCCCCATTCATCAATTTCCCATTGGATTCCTTGAAATGTGCCATTAGCATTAACTGTCCTTCCTCCTAAAGTTGTACATGTAAATATAGGTAACTTGTCTGGTTTTATTTTATTTTTAAATAGCTCATACATTAAATAAGGCAGTAGTTTGTTAGGGAAATTCTCTTGCTTAAGGCAATCCAGTGATCCAATCTTTGCTTCCACCATGATGGTTTGGAAGTAGAGAGTGGAGATGTTCCTTAGATATTTTTCTACTGGGGAAGAAGTGACCTTCTATTTTCCCCTTCCCTCATCTTTAAAGTGATACCACCAATGGCTGGTATCCTCAGAAAGAAGGCAGAAATCAAGGGGGGCTTCCTTCTGGCTGGATCTTTTGCCAATAGGATACCACCTCTTCTTTAACAAGCTAGGATGTGTGAAGACTCCCATAGTTAGCCCACTGCCTTGTTACTGGGAGTCCACATCACATCTACAGAGGCAACAACATTTTTATTGAATTCATCAAGCTTTGGAGCATTTTGATGTAAATACCAGAGCCATCCTATGTACTGACCTCTTAAAATAGTTTTTCTTCTTATTAAAGAAGTGACTTACTGCATGGACTAGGGAACACCTCATACAATTCTAAACTAAGTTGTTTTTCAGAAGCTCCAACTCTACAGTCAACTCAGAAAAAGTTAACCACAAAAAAATGAAAACAGACAAAAATGGTCCCAAATGAATGGCTGATGATGAGGACCATTACCTGGCCAGAAAAAAAAAAGTTGTAAATGAATGGAGCCTTTTGTGGGCAGTTTTATTTGCAGACTCAGGATTCAGTCTTCATAAAAGGTGGGAGGGATAGAGCCACCACCAGGCAAGTGTTTGGTCCTTGCCAGAAATCTCCAATGATGGGGAAAACCCACTGGCTTTGCCAGTGTTAGCATCTTCCAGACAAAGCTCCCATTGGTGTTGGTACTCGGGATACTTCTGTAGCAAGCAGGGACTCTGGGAGATGCTTTCTCCAGACTTCCTCAAGTCCACCTGTCATATATTTGCAGCACCTGGTGCAGTCCCCTCATTTTTTTCAGCTGAGCAAGGTTAACTGACTTGTCCAAGGTACTAGGCAGCAGAACGA